ATGTCCCACACCTTTGTGGAGCCCATGAATCACATGGCTACGACGCAGCGCCTTTTGGTTCAACCAGAGAAAAGCGTGACCGCTTAGAGTTGTACTGTTTAACTCCTTGAGAGCGAAGTGGAGCGGTTGCTCGCAGGAGGCCCCTGAGACTTCAGCTCCTGTGCCGCCAGTGAACAGTGCATGCCTAGGAAGATGCGGTGCTCCACATGCGGCGTCTTGCCAAGGATTGCAGGTGACTCGAATAAGAAGTGGGGGCAGATTCTGCAAAACCAAGCTTGGCTACAGCAGCCATGCGTTCTGTTGCAACGGCCAGGTGATCGCCACTCTGCTAAAGCGGAATGCCACTTGGGACGAGGTGTCGCTGTTTGTGGCTTTCAAGTTCTTGAAGAAACCGTTGCCGCACAGTTTAGACCTCGGACTGTTCTCCGCATGTTGCTGTTTTCATCTCCCCAAGACCTTGACGAGATTTGCAAGCCGCGTGTGTCCGGCAACGCCCCCATGTCGCGAGAGCTGCGCACTGCCGCGCATGCCGCGAAGCTGACAGCGCTTGGGCGGCTGACACAGCACGTGCAGAGGACAACCCAGCAGCGGGATGCCAAACCGGAGTTCCATGATGAGGAAGTCAAAGGGCCCAAGGCGACCTGGCCTGTGTCTTATGAAGGACTCAGTTCGACAAGTGCCTCCGAGAAGGAAGCTCGAGAAGCCGTCGCTGCACAGGTCATGTACCATTTGTCAAAGGTTGGAGCTCTCAGTGGAAGGGAGGCTGCATCCCCGAAAGCAGCCAGATCCTGTTTCGTCGCGAAGAAGCGTGCAGAAGCTGGGCGATGCCCGCTGCCCGCACGCCCTGGGCAGGAACCTTAACTGCGGCAAGCATCTTGCCTCGACTTCGTCGAATCGTCTTGAGGCATCTGCAGTTTTCTTGATGGGTTGGGGGTCGTTGCTTCCTGTCTTCAGGAGCTAAACGTCAACCTTACATTTGAGCCCGGCTTCGCTGCGGCTTGCTTGGCTCGTGGTTATCGTTGCTATTTTGGCCCCGTTGACAACAAGATGTTCCGCACCGCCATCCTCTCCCGGGAGGAAGGGGGCGCCATCAGGCTCGATGGCGTCCACCCTAAAACCCCAGAGAAGACTAAAAATTATAGTGAATGTCCAGATCTCACTAAGCCCAGACGAGGCTTTAAGATAGGTTTTCAACGAACCGCCTATCCAAAGTCAATTATCCAAAAGCTAAGATAATCTATTAGCCTGAAAAAGAAACATCAAAGACAAGAGAAGTACCTAAGTATCAGAAACATGTCTAGGGTCAAGCAATAAATCGAATCAGGAAACAAACATAGACAAAACGAGCGAGACGCCCTGAACAAAAACCGAACAAGTCAATCATAACATGAATTCCAAAGTCTAGACCTTAGGAATGAAAACGAAACAGACACGAAGGAAATGAAAAAACCAAGAATGAAACCGACACCACAACACCTAATTCTCCTGACCCTAGGAGCCTTCTTTCGACTATTTTTACGGGACCCCTTTCTTTGGAAAGAGTATTGTCGGAAATTCCTGAGATTTCCCTAGTATTTTCCTATCGCAGGCTTATTCTGAGCGTAGTATCGGCTTATTTTCTTTTACAGCGAAAAATGCGCCACAATAGGGCCACAATAGGAAAAACATAGGACTTCCTGGCCTAGCAAACATAGGCCAAAAATAAGCCGTCGGGGCGAGGCCCTCAACGAGGGGAGGGTTTGGGGGTAAGCGGGACCACAAGGGTTCTGGGACAAGGCTGCAGGGGCGCCATGTTTGTTTGGCCTCGCCACTGTATCATAGCTCAGTGCAACAGCCCTCATGGTGCATCAACAGTAGACCTGAACGGCGATACTCACCGGACTCAAGCAGAGTACCAACCACACTCGCATCTTGATAATGAAACAGTCAAATTCAAACAAGGATCCTGTTGTTTCCGTATTTATTTCTTGTTCGTGGAAAATCCAATAATCCGATTGAATTCCTATTGTTTCCCTGCCAGTAGTTATTTGCAAGGATAGCAGTCTGCCCAATGCTTGATTTGATAAGACTATCCACATTTACCTCCGTCCACTCTGCTCGGAGCCATGGTGGAAGAAATGCGACGATGGCTCCACGGCATAGAGCCTTGTGGAGGAGAAGCGGGGACGGTGGAGTTGGCTTGCAAAAGCATGTGTGTGGACCTCGTTCGTTCGGTGCAGGTTTGGACCAATATGCCCGCAACTTGGCGGAAGCATTCAACTCGCCAACGGAGGTGCGCCGAAGACGTGGTCTATATAAGTTGCACATGGCACGGAGCGTGGACTGCGGCATCCACAGGACAGAATGCTCAGTGGCATGGGATGCCGTGGCACAGGTTCAGGCGATGTACCTTTCCACCTGGCATTGTGCACTCGATGTGCTGGTCTTACCCGGTAGAGCGTGCAAACCCACTCTTGGATAATGTGCAGGTGTAGGTGCAGAGTAGCTCGGCGAGGCGCAGTTTTTCGAAGACTTTCACATTCATGACTTGCGGCACCAAAAGATGCGCTGACCCTGGCTGTCGAGTTCCTCGCACCAGGTGCCCGTGACCCCCTGTCGCAGTGTGCAAGCGCAGGTTTCGCCGCTGGTTTGAGGCCCAGGGCACGGCGCGTCCGGCGTTGGACGAGAACTCGAAGTGGTCTCCTGCTCGGGGCGCGGCGGTGTCGGTTTTTGAACGTGCTGGGGCCTTTGGGCTTTGAGATGAAACCAAGGCAGGAGAAGACAGCACCCGGTCATTACCCAGGGCGGGATGCAACTGCCGGAGACCTGGCTCCAGCTTCCTTGTAGACATGCATATGGAGCCAGTCAGCGAGGGCAAATCATCCAATCGAACACTTGTGCGAGGCTAGTCGGACCTGGAGCGGCACCTCGGCCATCGGCTGACAGCAAAGTCTAGTAACTCTGGAAACTTAGCAACTCTGGTAGTAGTGCCCTTGATCTTGGGCTTTCTCGGGGTGGGACGCTCAGGCTCTTGGTGGGACCCTGGCTGGACAGGCCAGAGTCGGTTGTGAGTTTGTACGAACAAGTGGCTTGCATTTGCTATGATTGCGGCTTTGATTGCGAAGATTCCACTGTTCTTCCGCCATTTCATGCTCAAAGCGCCCGCAGCCTCACGGCGGGGCGGGCGGCCTGAAGGGAAGAACAAAGCAGCGCCCCAGACGGCAATTGAGGCTCCTGTGGACGAATTTGCGAATCGGGCTCTCAGACTCGCAGCCGAGGTACGCATCTGCTTTCGTGGCACCCTCTCCTCATGACGAGAGGCCGAGGGACCGGTCCACTCGAGCTGTTGGAAAGTCCAAAGCAAAACTCGACAGGGTCCTCGGATGGGCACTGCCACTTCGGCACGTACGCATCTTTCGATGCGAAGGACCGCGTGGAAGTAGTGTAACATGATGTCAATGAGAGACATCTGTTTTGATTCCTACATTCTGACAGGATCCCTGCAACCAGGCGGGGCTCGCCGACTGTGAGAAGGCTGGATGGCTAGATCGGCTAGATTTGCATGCATCGATCTGCATCCCATCTTGTCAGTTCTAGTGCGTAACTTATGTAGTCTGCATGTTGCTGCTGGATAGCCGATGAAGTCGTGCTACCGAGCACCATGCCTTGCAGAGTCCGTAATACTCTCGCAGGTGTCGAGGTTGGACTTCGAGAGCCTCGCATGAACCAAGCTTCGATACCCTTGCCAGATCCTATGCAATGCTATCGCACTGCCTCAGGAACGAGCTTCCAACATTTTTTTCGGATATCAACTCGCAGCATCATCCCAAAGTTGAAGGTGAAGAAGGCTCCCCGGGTTTGGAGGGCGCTGACCATGCATGCACGAAGTTTAGCAAATGGTGACAATGTGGGGCGGCGTCGAAGGCTTCGACAACTGCTTCTGACTGGCCTCAGGCAGACATTCCGTATGGGAAGCCGAAACAGACAGCAGCGAGGTGCCACTGCGAGCCTTCGCGAGTTTGAGAAAGCTAAAGTCCCGTCAGGGCTCGGACATCCAGGAGCCAGATCGCGGCACGAGCTTCATCAGCGATGAGGCGGGGCTCCAAGTGCCTTGGCAGTGCTGGGCTCTCTGGGCACCTGAGGACTCCGAGCTTCTTAGGGAGGATTCTGCCGCCGAAGAAGATAAAGGCCAGGGTGGGGCCGGGAAGTCGGGGAAGCCAGTGCTTTGCTGGGTCGGCCATCCGAACAAGACTGTTGACAGCGATCTGTCCCCTATGCCCAGGCGTAAAGTGGGAGTTTTTCGATTTGGACAACGTGGCCCTGATGCACCGGAGCTGGGGGAACTGACGGGACCTGGCAGCCTGAAGAAAGCCAGTGGCTGAGAGATGGCTGAGGATCATATCATCTCCGAAGATGTGTTGCCCACAATCCTGGAAGACGAAACCTTACAGATGCCTTTGCTCACGTGCCTCGGCCTTGCCTCGACCTTTGAGCCCTCTAACGTGCTCTGATGCCCCGTGTCAGGGCTCGAAGCGCACTGGAGCGCAACAGCTGGGGCATCTCCGAAGCCTTTCAAAGCAGCTTCGAGGCAGGACTCAGACTCCGCGGTGACGTGCGCTGCCGCATCGCTGTGTGCTGGGTTAGGCACTCAGCAGCGTTGCCATTGGCATTGGAAGCTTCGCGGGGACCGCGACGCAAGGGGTACTGGAGGTGCCCTGAAGACATTGAACGGAAGCTTGCCAGTTGCGGGACCCATGGCACATCCGCATGCGAATGCAGGCCACACATGCCTTCCTCTCTTGCTCCATTGCCTTTGATGCTTTCGTGGAGATGCATGTGAAAAACGACGAGAACACCGTCCCTGAGCAGGACACTAGCTGTAGTACGTTTCCCTGGCTCGTCAATGCCTTCCCGATTCGCTTGCATCCACGTGAGGAGACGGAAGACAGGCGAGACGAGGCGTGAGTTCCGCACCGCCCACAGGTTCCCACCGCATAGGCGGTGGCACGAGGATTGGAAGGACGTGAGACCTCCCGCTGTACAGCCTTTCCTCAATTTCTCATCAACAGCCTGTTACTGCATTGCAGCTTAGGGCCAGATGACACTGTAAAGTCACGCTCTGTGCGCAAGGTTGACCTCAGTGACCCCACGAAGTTGCGAATTGATTTATCAAAGATCGCCGATGCCATCCTAAAGGTCCATCGTGCGCCAAGCCGCAAGCGAAAAGCGAAGCCGAGCGAAGCAAGCGCCTGTCTCACTCGTGACGAGCTTTAAGCTTTTGTGACAGTGGCCACAACAATTCGGCCGCATCTCAAGTGCCAGACCCCCTCCGAGGTCTTTTAATGAACACAGGTTTGAATGTCCTCCCCATTTCCCAGATTTTGTCGTGTTCAGACGGCATAGCCGCAGCTGCAACGTTTCGCAGATGCTCCGTGCTTCGGGAGATGGTGTGTGCGTATGCGAGCGTCGCAAGTTTTCTTGCATTTGCGGGTTGCCTTGGGGAACTGGAGGTGCAGCCTTCCGGCTTCCCCATTAGTGATCTCCGCCCATGGTGGGTAGGGCAGCCAGGGTCCCACCTCAGAATCTCTGGGCAACAGTTTCTAGTCTTTGTCATCTTGGATGTGGTATAGCGATGGCCCGTTGCCAGGGCGCATCAAACACAGACATACATTTTCGCTCTGACAGCGCGGTGATCGTAATATTACAGCTCATGTGCCAAGTGGTTAAGCAAAAGGAATGGGCCTAATGCTGAGTGCAGGCTGTAGCACAGTCCAACAGGCACATGGCTGTATTGCAGACAACGACATCTTCCTTGTTGCATGAAATGCAGCAGGCGATGTCCTCGTTTATGTTCGACAGGTGAACCTTAGTTTCTCATGCATTCCTGCTTGGCAGCCCAAGTTGCATGCATCAACCACACATCTGATTGGGTGAGGTGATGAGCATCTACAGCAAGCAGTCAGCAGATTTCTGGTCTTGCTGTGTGCGTCTAGGGCTGGCTGCAACAACGAACAGGCAGAGGGTTGTGATTTGCAGCCGCCTTCTGGCACAGCGACGAAGTTGCCAGAACTGGCAACCGATGGAAATCGCTGGGGCGACACGCCACCTTCATGACATGCTTGCGCAAGTTCGCAAGTTATATGATAGAAATGGTGTTAGACATGTAGATAGCGCAAGCACGCGGCAGGCTCGCAGTAGCCATTCCATGATCGAAGGTGTCGGCACGACGACTTCCTAGCGAGCTCAGACTTGTCTTGGCTTCGTTGTGAAGACGCGGCTGTGGTAGGTGATGCGTGATGAGTGGAGCCCTGACGAGCATTCCGAACATTACCGCGGTCGACAAAACGGAAGAAACAGGCTTCGTGTGGCCTCGGCCCAGCAGGGCCTAGCGTTGCAGCCGTGGCTAGCAAGTTGCCAGACTGTCGTTTCGGACCGTTTCGGAAGGGCGATCATGTGGCTAAGGTCCTTTGTGAAGATGTGGTCTCGTTGTTGTGAGCCGATGCTGCTGCTGCTGCTGCTGCTCCTGCTGCTGCTGACAATGATGATGATGGTGATGATGACGATAATGATGATGATGATGATGATGATGTTGGCATTCTTGTTTGTTGTGGATGCGATTGTAGTTGCAATCGCTGTTTTGGTTGCGGTTGGGGCTGCCGGGCTTGGGGTTGTGATTGTGGTGTTGGCTTTGGCTCCGGCTCTGGTTGTTGTTGCTGTTGTTGTTGTTGCTGCTGCTGCTGCTGTTGTTGTTGTTGTTGCGTGTGTGCCTGTCAAGATGTAACACTTCTGGCACACTTCCCTGGTACAGTCTTGCAGCTGTGACCTGCACTTCCACACTTCGCG